TGGATTTAAGCATGTCTTTCCTGAATCGAGGCATCACTGAGGTATTTAAGCACTTGCTTAACTTTAAGCACACAGGGTTTGTTCTAAAGCTCACTGAAGACAAGAGAGAGACTACAACTGATTTCAATCGACATCGGATTGGGCCTTAAAGAATTCCCACCAAAGTTTTGGACTGACTACCTTCCTCAGGGGGACCCAGGTTAATTGATTCCTGTAGTGATGACTGTGCTATAAATATTCCTACGGTTTCTCCTCTACTTTCACCATCATCTCTCAAGCTTGCTTCCAAAACAAATGTGTTCTACATGCCATGGACTTAATAGTCTCCTCTCCCATGTCTTTCTTTACCATTGCTCTTGATTCTGAAACATAAATAAAATGGAAATTAAAAGCTAAGGGAGGGAAAAGGAAAAAGCTTTCTGAAGTACAACAAAGGCTACGTCTACCCCAGGAGCTGGGGCATGATTCCCAGCTCGTACAGACATATTCACACTAGCTCAGGATCGAGCTAGCTTGCTAGAATCGATAGTGTAGCCGCACTAGCATGGGCAGTAGCAAGCACCAGCACAGGCTAGCTGCCCCAAGTACATATCCGGGGGGTCCAGGCAACTTTGCACTTGGGACGGGTAGCACATGCCATTACTCACTCCTACCCATGCTACTGTGGGTATACTACTATTTTTAGAGAGCTAGCACAAATACGTATACTCAAGTTGGGAACCACACCCTCAGCTTCAACTCTAGACTTAGCCTAAGAGTCCAAAACCTTTCCATTCTGCCTATTTTAAGTTTATCTAAAACTTGGCAGTACTGGAGAATCTGTTGCAAACTTTACAGCCCATTCTTTCACCACTGAGCTCTAATTTACCTTATTTTTTCCACTAATAAAGTTATAGTTGGAAGGACCCCAACCTTGCCAGCTGGAAGCAGTTGTATTTAGAACCGCTTAAAATTGCAAGGAGCTGGAGTGATGGTGTTTGGTCATTTAGAAAATGTCACCCCATTACTAAATGCAACATACTGTAACATGGCGTGACCTCATGTGGGAATGTCAGAAGCTTCCTGCAAACTTCTTCTCACCATTCATAAAACAAAAGTGAACGTAAATCAGAGGTCAGCTTATCTCTCCTCCCTTTCAACAGATCCAGGCTAAATGGGCAGTTAACTTAGCGGAACAAAATTAATGAAATGGTTTGACTGAAATACTAACTGTGCTAAAATCTGAACTGGCAAAGTCTGTATAAAGTCAAAGTTACAACTGAAGGTCTGGTATGGTAACAGACACTATGTATTGTAAGACCACCTCTGGTTACTAGCCCTTGATCAGTAATATTACCATTTAATAGCCAGTGCTGCAGGATAACAGGGCTGCTAACTCTGACATTTTTGCTCTAACTTGTATTTCTTTTTCTGTTTAGTCCTATTGAACTTCTATTACTGCACAGTTACGTTTCTGTGAAGGTTATGGACTTCTGATACACAGATCTTCCAATAAATCTGTACAATCTTCAAACAGAAGTTATGGCCTTAAAATCTACTAATATGTGTACTTGAAAGAAAAAAGCAGATTTGTATTTAATAATAAAAATGCTCCTGGGGAAAAATCAGGAACCGTGTGGTGTATTTTATTAATAACCTTCCACAAGATGGCTAAGAGTCCAGTGTCTTCACGGGCTTCGGAACAAGTAGACTTCAGCATTATGAGGTTAGATGAAGATATTATTTCAATTGGAAAAAAGGAAGAAGGGCTGAAAACAGCATACCGCATGTTTCATTTAATATATGTGTATAGTCAGTAGGGAAGGAAGAGGATTATTGTACAAGACTTAAAACAGATCCACCAACTTTACAGTAGTAGTGAACATCCTAATGTCCGTATAATAGAATAAGTTACTAAAGCAGTTCCCATGGGCTAGCTGATATATGAAGCTGGACTGATGTTATCTTTAAAGATGGGGTATTATTAACCATGGGGAGATGTGTCAGTTGCTCTATTATATACAAAATGCCCAGAGTCCAAGTCAGCAAGCACTGAAAATATGAGAAAGTAGCCTGTCCTTTAAATGACCAAACACTTGTAGAAGACATAGCCAGTACCTTGCAGAGAAGGCAAGTGTCAGGTACTGAACAGCATTCCATTGTTCACACCATTCTAGCTGAGTTAGCATCCACTGGGAGTGAAAGTTGTGAAGGAGGAGAGAAAATATTCATAGGAATAAAGAGCAGAAGGAAAATTCCATGGGACTGCAGCCCCTGGTCTAACAGAGTGGAGATACTCACCTTTGGATGGAGAACTCCCAGCATATGCTCCCAGTGATTGGTCATAATTGGAAAAAAAAAAAGATGAAACTCTTAAAAAGCCCATAACAAAGGCATGTGTGTATTTACTCACATATTTAAGCTTCTCATAAAAATACTGGTACCTCTTTCAACTGGCAAGTACCCCTGCTATGAAAAAACACTCCTTCAGGGCTGAGAAAATGCTGTTTGATCTCCCTAAATTACATCTCACTGCTTGTCATTTTCTGATTGATGAAATAACTTAGGGAACAATATCAGTGTGTGGAATATTGCCTGAACAAGCAGTCAATGATTATTGAAAATACAGTGTTTATGCAGTTTAAAAATCAGTGAGCATATTACGCACAAGTTTTTTTTTCTGGAGCAATGAAAAAATACTGAAATGAATTTGTTAATAAAAGGCATAGGGCTTTTTTGTCTATTTTTAAGAATACTGGACTAGTGAGGGTCATTAGTTAGTCATGATGGATGCAAGAAAAAGTGCCACCTGCAGTTGAATGTGAAGCCAAATGCTTATTTGACCCCTGAATACAGAGAAAGGTGTTGCTGTTCAGGGGTTGTCAGAGCAGAGGGAGGAGAAATAAACTGAAGAAAAGAAAGGGAAAGTGAAAGCAAGGATCACTAATTTCTCTGAACCATTTAGAACTCCCAGAGAAGGGAAAAAAGTCTCTTAGGTTTCACCACATCATATTTTGTTTCTTCATCTTATGGTGTGGTGAAACCTGTCAGAAAATAGCCACTTCAAAAATACCGGGCCAGATCTTCAGCTGGTATAAATCGATCTAGCTGCATTGACTTTAATAGCTCTCTGCTGATTTACACCTGCTGTGAATCTGTCCCCATATGTGCACTCATTTTCGAAAACTTCATTCTGGCCTTAGAAATCAAAGTTTCCATCATGATGCATCCAAATCCAAACTTACGCAATCAAAATTTAATCAACACAAAAATCGAGCACACACTCTTGAGGACGGCACATGAAATACACATGGCCAAATAAAAAATAAGTAACCCACATCCTTGTATCCATTCATAAAAATGTGCTTAGCACATGTATATCAGCAGAGATGACTGCATTTCAGTGTAGTTTGTAAAATGATAACGTACTGTGTAAGTGGGCTTGTTGTGTCCTAAGCAGAAGATGATGCATATAACATATTCAAATAGACTGTGCTCAGAGAGGAGTGAATTTCATTTGGAGTAATCAGACTTTTGGGCAGGAAATTCTGTGTGTATCCATCTTGTGGGATGGAACAATGGGTCAGAAAGATGGCCACCGCCCCTCTGAGACCCTTATGCATGAAGCTACTGCATCTTTTCTTAGATCCTTCACCCACCACCTATTATGCAGAGGCCTGCAGAGATTGTGTCGAATCCTTGCTGACTGCAGATTTTACTGATTATACTATCTACACTGCCTTTTGGTCTGGTTGCCACCTACCTTTACGTTGGTCAAAAACTGAACTAAGCCTGTTCTCTAACCCCTGCCACTAAACCACGTCCCTTTTGCCAAGCCATGTCACTCCCTTAACCTGAACCATGAAGGGACTCTCCTACTACAAGGTATTGGTAAAACTTTCCTCTCTCCTACCTTTTCCTCCCTTCCTGGATGCTAGGGAGCAGGGACTCTCTGTTCTCTCTCCTTCTCTCTTGGAAGAGGGAAGTACCATTGGTTCCTTATGTCCACAAAAGGGAGGTGGTTCCACTTACAGAAAAGACAGGTGGTGTGTCCATGTGACTTCTCCTCTCCTAGAGGCTTCCACATCACTGAATCCATCTGATCTGCATCTTCCCCTCTGTCCAACTGACCCGGATTAGGCACAGTGGGACATGATTCCCTGATCAGCACTTTGATTGCTTTAAGGCCCTGTTCGTGCTTCATAGTCCTATTGCTCCATGTCAGAACTGCTAACCCACTACACATAAACCCAGAGGCCCTTACAAACAAACTAGTGTACAGACATTTTAAAAATAAACTTTTTAGTGTTATGGGAAAAACACCAGATGGGAAAAATATGTATTTCTCTGGAATTCTTTTCAACCAGGCAATGTAGTCTGATGTGTTTGAAAGCTAAGAATGGAGGTGGGTGAATTATTTCCCACAGAGAACCCAGTCCTTCTTTACTCCAGGTTTTGGATGGATGGGCTTGAAGTGTCTTCTGAAACACACGTGGAGACAACAACAGGATTGCAAGCCACGGGGGCCTATGAAAGTACTGGCCTGAAAGGAATATTTAGTGAAAAGAATCTTTAAAAAAATAAAGAGGTGGTCCCTTCTTCGAAAGACAGCTCAGAACTGTCTGGGGTAAATGTTTCCCTGGAGAAACTTATTTGATTGAATATGAATAGGGATTGAATAAGAATAGGAATTGAATAGGAATTTGCATTATTTTAACCTTTAGTTGTTCTTCCTGCAATCTACCAAAACGAATGCAGGAGCAGACAAGACCCTAAAATTAGCACCTTCCCTCCCACACTAATTTATCAGACTTCCAAAAAGTGAACTTCACAATGCCATATGCATCCCAGCACCACACATCATCCAAAACCAGACTGCTCTTTATAAGCTTGGTTATGATACGTACCTTCAGCACTGCTAAATTAAACCTTGTCCATAATCCTAGTTTTTTATGTCCTCTCAAGGTGAATTAAAAAAATATCTGAGACCCCCATTAGGTCTGGGGTGACTGTGCACCTACCGCTTGCTTTAGACTCTGAGTATGAGGGGCTGTCCTCGAAAGTGAAGATCTGCGGAACACAAGCAGGCGTGCTAACACTCTGGCCCAGGTAGGAGGCAGGAGGGTAGTACGAGTGCATCCTGTACTGGGAGCTCATGGCATGTCGGCTCTCTGTGCTTTTCATCTGTTCAAAGATAGAATTAGAACAGCAGTGTATAAAAACTGAATCAGAGGTGGGGAGTGAGATTTATTTGCATCTTGGAAATTTCTCACTGTCCTTCATTTACATATTATTGACTTAGATTTTGAGAGAAAACACATTCATTTCCTAGGATTTTTGTTTAGAAAATACTTATTTCCAGCACACATAGTATCACTGTGAGCTTTCTAATCCCATTCTGTCTATGTGTTCAACCCTGACGAACAGTAGCAGAGATGAACAGCAGCCATTCAGTCCTTGGAGTCTCCAAAGAGACTAACAACCATGGAACCAATCGGTGATGGTAGTTACTACAATGAGAACACACACATATTCCCTAGAAACTGGACAGAGCAGACCAATCTAGAGATTTATATAGACCCCATCAACTGAGTATCTGAGCACCTCACACACATTAATGAATTTATTCTTAAAACCCAGTGAGGTAGAAAAATAGTATCCCTCTTTTACAAGGGGAAACTGAGTCAGGCAGAAATTAAGTGACTGCCTCAGTCACACAGGAAATCTGTCAGAGCCAGGAATGGAATTTAAGATCTCCTAAGTCTCAGTCCAAACCATCCTTTCTCATTTCAAACAGCCAAACTGCTTCCAGGTCATAAAAACTTTGAACCTGGATCAAGGATGAATGGAGACCAAAACTCAGAAATGAAGGCTTATCCTATTTCCAATCCCTTGGGCCAATCTAATCTGCCCTCCATCCTTAAGCTTTATGAAGTACCCAAACAGAATTAACTATATCTTTAAATTTTTATTTTACGGAAACTGGCATTATTATTTATTTTAAACTTCTATACCATAAGGCTGATATAACAGTTAAAGGTAAGCAAGAAACCTAGAAAGCCATTATTACTAAAAACATTAAAATCCTATGTGCGAAGGTAATACTATATTACCTAACTTCCGCAAATTGGTTTGTCATTAAATTACTAGTAGATAAAGAGCTTTTGACCAGAGAAAAATGATCACAGTATTATTAAACCTGTAAATCTATCCATAGGCACACCTGTACAACTATGCTATCTGAGGTTGCTTATCTAAGGTACAGTGTACTCATGTTACATACGGACAGTGGGCCAAATTCTGCCAGCAGTTATACCCATCGTATTCTGTGGACTTCACCAGAATTTGGCCCTGTATGTTTATCCAACAAAATATGCCCCTGCAATCATACTTGGAAGAAAAACAGGAAAAGTTCTACCTGGTACAGTGAATGAGTGTGTCAGGGGAGCTCTCCAAATCTACTTTTCCGAGTGTTTCCCCTGTTGTTTACACTTTCAGTATTCAAACTGCCATATTAGAATTAGCATGGTCTTAGTAACACAGAGATTTCACATGAATAAGACTTAGCGCAATATCCTACCCTCTGTTTCGGGATGAAATTCCAAGTGATGTGACTAAGGTGCATAATTATTTGTTTTATGGCTGCAACACGGTCTTAAACAGTTATAGACATACCTAGAGATAGACAGGATATACCTACAGTCCTGCAGGTATGGTCTTTAATATAACGAATAATAACAACACTCATTTATAAGATGATTTTCTGCTCTCTGCATGCTAGGTACAAAAACATAAAATAAACCAATTAAAGTTTACTCCCAATAAGACAATGTTAAACAAACTTCGGAACCAACTCCTTGTCCGGTAGCATTCTGAAAACTTTTTGAAGTCAGAAGGGGCTTAGGCCTTGCTTAAAAGAGGTCAAACCAATGACCCTAAGGCTGGATAGTAAGGCACTCCCCAAAACATAGGGAGGCCAGGGCTAAGACATAAAGCTCAGCACACTTCCCATCTCCAAATCCACAATGCCCTCTGTGACCTAAGAAGACGAGAACGCAATATAAAAAGCCAGAAACTCTGTATAAGGTACGTAGGACCCAGTCTATTCCCAAGGCTTTGAATGTCAACATCAAAGGCTCCTTCTCAGTCCATGCACCTCTGAAGGCAGTGAGCGCTGAGCATGGTGGAGCAGATGGTAGAAGAACCACCTCTGCCTGCGCTCAGCAATCATGTTGTCATGTTCTGTGGTATGACACAACTGCCCTGGCAGCTCAGTTTTTAGCCCTGCTATCCTTGAAAGTAACTGTTTGGGTGTGTGGAGTCTGTCGGCGGGCACTAAAAATATCACCTGCTGGAGATAATATTATTTGAGCAGCAAGAAAATGGAAGAACTGTTCAATGGCACTGAATGAATGTCTTGTTTCCTTCCCTTGCAGGATGTGGGTGATGATCTGTTTCCTTTCAAGACTTTTAAAGCTTTCCCCCCAATTCCTTAAAAAAATAACTCACCTAAAAATCCCAGGATTCAATGAGTTATTACGACTATTAGTATTAGTACGTGGTAGCTGTCGGCAAGAGACATGTTTTATAATCTTATTACCCACACCAAGTCTATGAACCACAGTCCGACCAACAGACAGGCTTGGCCCTGCAAAGCATATGCATTGAATTAACCACCCAAGAAATCAAAAAGCTTTAGTTTTGTTTTATTAAACTGTTTAGAATATACGCCACTGTAAATCTGAACCAGAAGGTTTCCTTTTCATAGTGCTTAGCTACCCTATTTTATAGTAACAGTAAAAAACCAACCAAACATAAACATTCCTGACCTTATCACTGTATTAAAAATGGGGACCTATGAGATCATTACCCTGGGGGAGGGTGGGTTTCACTCTGTATTAACCCCTTTAGCTTCGGCTAGGTTGGGAGTTCTTGCACCATTGGTGATAAGTCAGAAGGAGGGCGCTCATGGCATGATTGGGAGTTCAAAAGGGTTCCCAGGGGGACAAAGTGGTACCCTCATTATGGAATACTTGCCATAAATATTGGGACACGCTTTCTATCAGCAGGATGCTGTGAGGTAGATTGTCAAACTGGTGGGCAGGCAGCAAAACAGGGGTAATAGTCGTCTCCTGTGCTCTGGCTTGAACGCAGACCCCTTTCATTTTGAAAGGAGCATTTAAAATAAACACACAACATAAGCCTCCCTTCTCACCCATCCTTTCCTCTGTTTGTTTGTTTGTTACACCCACCTATTGCAACTTACCTCATCCAAAGTTTGTGAGCTCTTTAGGACAGGGAGAGTGCCCAGCACAACCAGGCCCCAAACCAGTTGGGGCCTCTAAATGCTAGTGATAAGAATGTTTAACCTGCACACTTTTTGCTGGGGCATAGTTAGCAGACCTCTTTTCCAAAGAGTTATAGGATTACAACCAATCACTCTTTTTTTACAATGCAGGAAGGGCGACAGCTATTGACCTAACTGCCCCATCACCTATAAATATGGTATTGCCCTTGCTTAGGGCTCTTGGGTTTCTCATCTCTAGGCACCTCCTACCAGTTGCATTTCACTATCACTCCTCTTTGCATTTGGGAATCCTTTGGGCCCATCTTTGCCCTCAGATGCACAGCCAGGCCACAGCTCTCACTGAAGAGAGATTTGGCCCATTCAGTATTCACAGTTGCTGGTACACTGTGCAAATGCAGTATAGAGTCAAAGGATGTATTGTGTACGGCAGCCAGATAACTGGTGAGAGGGACTTTAAAAATGATACACGAAATAAATACAAGCAAGCCAAAAAACCATGTAAACTGTAACTTTGGAATTCTTTTGTTTCTGTTGTTTGAAAAGACGGTAGAGGGCTCTGCATCAACAGGCAGTTGCAGGTTGTTCACATGTGTTTGTGTGTTAAAAACTGCTAAACGAAAGCCTTTCGTCAGTTAATGACCACTATACACAAAGCCTCCAGCTCTCCACTGATGGCTGACAAAGCAACAGAACCGTTACCTCTATGAAGGTTACAGGAGCTCAAACAATACAACATTCCACAAACTCAGATCATTGCCGGGAATCCCACCAGGGCAACCTCCCCAACACTGCAGAAGAGGTGGGTGCAGCCCAGCCCCAGCTTTCCAGGCCCCTTGCAGCACCTTCCCTACCCTGCAGGTACCTTGTGGAGGGCTCTCTACAGAATCAAGAGACACATATTAGGAACTAGGAAGACCAAGGATGGGAGAAGATCAGGCCATTGCACTTGGCTGCTTAGTCTTCTCCTACCAGCCCTGTAAACATTCAAGCATTGCCAACCCTAAGTGTTCAAAGATCACGAGTCAGGTCCCCAAAATCATGGGAGTTTCAACAAATGAGAAATGCATTTTAAAAAAATGAAAGCTGAGATTTAAGAAAAAGACCAAATATCATGTGACCTGTGATAAAACTGCAAGTGTGGAAAACACTGAGTCAGAAAAAATATACACCTGGAGAGCCTGGGCATCCTCCTTTAGGGCCTGAACCTGCTGCCATCGAAGTTGATGACAAAGACCCCACAGAGTTCAAAGGCAGCTGAGACCAGGGCAATCAGAGCTAGGGGAAAAGCTTGGTGAAGTAGTTCCCTCAGAGCCACGCTGCCCAGGATGGAGCAGAGTGTCAGGGAAGGAGGGAGTTGTGTTGAGCACCTCCGGGCCAAGTGTCCTTGCAGTTCCCAGGGAATCCATGGGTCCCAGGGGTACGGGCAGGAGAAACCTCATACACCCCATAGAATGATTTGGGGGGAACTCAAAAGATCCTTGCAGAAGGATCCTCCTTTCCTCCTTTGCCCTCTCCAGGTGATTTTTCCATGGGAAGGGCAATAGCTAGTTGTGAAGAAGCCGACTGCCTCTGTGTTAAATCCCTTGCAAAATAAACAAAACTGAGCTGATCACATCTTTCTTTGTATAGCTGGCCCAGCCCATTCCCCAGGCACAAAGCTACAAGGAAGAAGACACATCTCCGTCCTAAAGTGCCCATCTATGGAGGAGACAGATGCTGCAAAGAGCACAGATCTGGGAGTGTGATCTTGGGCAGGTCTTTAACATACAAACTCCATGACTCTGCTTCCTCAATGACTCATACATAAGCTATCCCCCACCAAAGCTGCCTTAAAATTCTGGCAGAGCTTTTTCGGCTTCTGAGCATGTATACATAG